CAAGTTTCTTGATGTGGCTTCAACAGATACGCGTTATTTATTAGAAGCTGTCATCAAGATTCATCGTTTTACACCGGAAGAGTATTGGGATTGTTGTGTGATACCATACTTGAAATCCCAACCAATTATCGATATTGTGATTGTCGAAAAGCTTTTTGAACAATTACCATCTCTTAGTTCATACCATTCCTTCAAGGACAAACTTAGAGATATTGATTTCGTGCCAGGCGGGACAATTCAAATGGCCCAAGAAGACCTTTACACGATCAAACGTAAGCCTGCTGATCTATTTGATCCAACCAACCAGGAAATCGCTCAATTATTTTTCGATGACGAAAAAGTTTTTCCTGTTGGAAAGTTCTCTAATGCATGTAATCAGCACTACCACATTTTAAAAGAACTGGGAATTAGGACCTCACTTACACAAATGGATATCGTTAATCGTATTAAAACTTATGTCGAACTTAGAGAAAGGAACGACTTTGATTTGCATAACAAATCACTTAATTTGTTTAGATATATTGATAAACATTGGAATTCATTTGAGGATAATAATACTGATATTTTGTCAACTGTTAAATCTTTGCAATGGATTCCAACCATTAATAAAACTGGCGATAAGGGCTTTTCTTGTTTGCTTGAGAATGGATGCCGCGATAAAAAAGATGAGAATTTAGTATCATTGGTCGTTCCATTTCTCGACTATCAAGTTGAGAACCTTACGCTTCGCAATCATTTGGGATGGAATGTATATCCTCCTGCAGAATTGGTTCTTAAACAAATGCACCAATGCTCCCTAATGTCTAAAAGTGATCCAAATTTTAAAAATCAATCTCAAATTTGTGAAGCAGTTTATAAACATATTAGTGAAGTTTTGTCATGTAACGACGAACAACATAAGTCAGAATTAAGTAGAGGGTTGAAAAACGAAAAATGGATTTTTTGCGGGGGTAATTTTTATGCAACAGAAAATGTATTCTTTGATCTTTCAGAGAATTTTGGAAGGGATATTGTTAAATTGCCAGATGATTATCGAAATAGGTTTAATAAAGTATTTAAAAATATGGGAGTTCATAAAAGACTTGGGATTAATGATCTGATTAGAATAATCAAAGAAATTGATCTTGAAGCAAATCATAATTCATTAACTAAAGAGCAATTATCTGAAGTAATTAAACTTCTTAAGTATTTTGCAGATGAACACACTAATTCTAAGAAAGACGACTTGAAAGACGACTTGAAAGACTTACTTATTCCAAGTGTCGATTCTACTCTTCTCAAGCATGAAGAAGTTTATTTTGATGATAGGCCTGAAGTTAACAAAACTGAGAAGAAGAATTATAAACTCTCACATCAGGAAATAACACTTGAGCTTGCAGAAAGTCTTGGAATTCAGATGCTCTCCACCGTATTTTTAAAATGCAGCGAGATTGAATTTGAAACTTCTGAAAAAATCAGAATAAAAAATATTATTACTGTAACTATCAAAATTGGTTATAATATTTTATCTTAAAATTCGCATATTTACAACTGTTACAATTTTTTAACAATGACTAGGGATGTTCGCTTGATACTTTGTTTAAAGAGTTTCTTAAGGTATTGGTTAAAAAAAACTAATATGCAAATTTACGTAAAGCTACATTAATAATTCTTATTATTACTAGAACGCTGATGATGCAGGAACTAGAAAATTTTCTATCTATCTTGACGAGAGGATTTTAGATAGGAATCCCGAAAAACCCACTCTCTTGTCTAAAGAAATGCATAATTGTCAAGGCCCAAATGTTTGGATTTACTATGATAAGAAATTTGATGATTTTTCTGATCATAAAAACAATATAGGTCGTGCTGGAATTTTAACCGATATTTTATCTTTCGTAAGCGGAGAAAATGTAACATTCCTTGATTTCCATGATCCTCATGCAATGTTTCTTCCCTTGCAAGGTTATCCTCCAAAACGGCCTCGAAAAATTAAGTTTAATTTTCTTGAGAATGATTTTTTAGCCAAATTCGAAGATCAATGTAAACCATATTTGAATATAGAAGATTGTGACTTTAATAAAGAATTTAATGGCACTTTGTTTAAATTGCCACTTAGAAATGCAGAGTCGCTGAATTCAACAAAATCACAAAAAATTTTAGACCATTTTCGGAGCAAAAAAAATCACCAGGAACTTCTTTTCTTGAGAAACATTGAATTATACAACGTATATCATATAGACAAGGATGGAAATAAACAATTGATTTGGGAAATGAAAATTCAAAAATTAAAAGATAATTATAGGGATATTCGCAGAAAAATTGAGTGCACACCGAAAGTTTTTCAGGTTAATACAAGAATATATGACAAAAAAAAGAGAACTTTCGAGATATGGCTTGTATGCACGGGTGGAAATTCTGAAAAAAACATGGATGATAATTTGGTAAATTTTTCAAAAAAAGAAGGACTTAAGGTACATTTTCTTTATTTTTTTACTTTCGTTATTTAGAATTATTGCATAATACAATCATTATTGATTCATATAATATATCTCAGGCTTATGGTGGTGTCGCTGCTATTCTTTCACGGTCAGATAATGAAGACGATCTTTTAAAAGAAATTGTATAATATGACTATTTTATTTTATGCTATATGTATGATTATTTTCTGTCTTCTAATTTTTATTTTATTTTATTTTTATTTTTATTTTTTTTTTTCATACAGTTAATAGATCCACCCATTCTTGATGGAAGGGAATATGTATATGTCTCAAGTGAACGTTCAGTAAATTTAGGAGTGCATATAAATGGCGATTTTTATCGATCTATAGATAAGAAAGATAAAAAAGATACTTCACAATCAAAGAATAACGATTATATATATAGAAAATGGAATCGACATATTTTACTTGAAGTACTCCCACCTTTGCATGTTAAATTGTTAAATGAAATCGCTAAAAAAGATTTAAAACGATTCAAGAATTCTAAGACCACTCTTGGAAACTTTTTTCCACACATAACTAAAAACTTCTTACTTCTTGGTAATGAAAAAGAAATAGAAGATGAATTAATTGATTCATATAGGACAAAGGTGCTACAAAATCTTGGTGATAGTGAAATATTTTGGACTGAAGCTGATGATGGCAAATTTGTGTCATTAAAAAATGCATATTTTTCCGAAGAGAAGGATTATATTATTGCTAATATTCTTTCCAGGCATGGTATTCCAACTGTAAGGATGGATATAGACAAACTCAGTTACCTAAAAGACAAAATAAAAGGAAAAAAGTCTAAATATCGGCCTATGAAATTTTCTAAAATATTACGAGAAAATAATAATATTCTAAGTTCCATTGAACAGGGACAAAATGATTTTATTAGTATTATAAAGTTATTAAAATTCATTTTGCAAGATGAGGATAATAATTTAAATTTGAAATTAAATGGGTTGCGATTAGTGCCTTTAAAAAATGGTACTTTTGGCACTTTTGGAGAACGTGACTATTATATAGCGGAAAAAGACTGTCAAGGGTTATTCCCGAAGTCTGGTCCTTCTCATTTTATTTACGACTCAGATTATGAATTTATTGAAATTTTTAGGAACGAGCGCTTTTCTAATCTTCGCATTAAAAGACTTGATACCCAAGGCGTTCTTTATCTTCTGGAAGAGGAACTCCCAAATAAACAGGAGATGGAATGGAATCCTTCTTCAGGATCGATTCCTAATCGACAGTGGCTTGATGCTGTATTTGAAATCATGAAATTAGACACAGGATCTGAAATTGTGTTACCTAATTGTCCGTTGATCCCTGTTATTCGACCGAGTCACAAACTTGTTAAAATAGACTCGACAAATTCTTTATTAATCAATCCGAATGATAATGACCCTATGGCCTTTATAGTAGAGGTTCTTGCAAAATTGGGAATTTGTTTCACAGACATAAAATTCCCCAACAGGTGTCTGAAGCGGAGTATAAAAGCTTTTAATTATTCTAACGTTTTTAAATCTATAAAACAAGCATCACGGAATATTTCTATAGGAACGTTTTTTAGCGATGCAAAGTTGGATGATGCTGATTACAGGAAACTTAGAGAATATATTAAAAGCTTTATCAATGTTAATGCCAAAGGTTTGCTAATATCCTTTTTTATTTTGTACGATTCTTATTTTTATTCTCTTAAAACAAATTTTTATAACCATTCAAGGAAATGAAAAAATTTTAAACATCATTCGAGAACTTCCAATTTGGCCAATTCGTTCACCAATAAAACATAGATTCATTTCTGCAAATGATAAAGGAATATTACCGCCACATAATCTTCCATGTCCCTTACAGGATTCTGTCATCTTTGATGTGCAAGATGAATATTATGATGTGCTTATTTCACTTGGTGTAAAAAAGATTGAAGTATATGATTTTTTCAGGCAATATTACCATTATGAATCAGGTGAACCGCCAACGCAACAGGATGTAAAATTCCTTAAGAAAATCCTATCACTTAAGAATAAACGAATTGAGAGTTATCTTGCGAGTCGTGAAGCAATTCCTAATAGGAGTCTCAAATCATTTGTAAAGGCCAGTACTCTATATGATGCGGAAGTAGATTTATTTAATCAAATATTTGATGAAGATAAATTGCTTCCACTTGAATTACAAGATAGTAGTGCTTGTCGATCCGCTTTATTAGAAATGGGACTTAAACGAAACTTGAATGGAAGCGTATATCTCGAATGTGCTCTTGAAATTCAAAAGAAAATTAATGGTCCAAAAAAAGGTTATTTCAAAAATCTATTGAACCATTTTACTAGTTTTAATGACGAGATCAGACCACTCTCAATAAATTTGATAAGTCATCTGAACGGAAATTATAATAGCTTTAGTGAAAATGAACGGAAACAACTCTACGAAATAGATTTTGTTCCCTCTAAAAAAGATCTCCCGAGTCCTTATAATAAGACAGCAGTCCCTACTTCAGAATACGAATCGTTTAATTCGTTATGTTTTGTAAAGTATATAGATATATGTTGGACACAAACAAAATTTATTTATTCCGACATTGAACTGCCCTTCGATCTCCGCCCAGGTCTTAAAATGGTCATTAATCATTGGATTGAACTGTCTAAAGTTTTTCCTTCCGAAACATCAGGTTGGAAAGGCGATAGAATACATGAAATTATGAAAAAAATTTATCAAGTTGTGGATGATAATTTAAACCTTTTGGATGAATGTAAAATTAGAGAATTTGAACTAAAAGATACTAAGCTTTTCCTAAATGGTGATAATCCTTTTGATTCTAATTGCTGGATCCCTGGCAAAAAGCTTGTATTTGGTCTTCAAAATAATATAAATGACCGATTTGGTGTAAATGATCGTTTATTACCATTTAAGAAACTACTAATAGCTTTAGGTGCAAAAGAAGTCGACAATAATGTTAAAATGGACGAGATACCAATTAATTATTCACAAAGTGACCATTTAATTAAATATATGATCAAATGTCTGCAGAATCAGGACTCATATTATGATATTATATTCAAGATTGGGGATCACAATATTCGCGCAAATCGTTGTGTTCTATCAAGTATGCAATTAATAATTTTGATTAAATTTTATTATTTTCTTTTTATTCTAATAATTCTATGATTTTTCAGGTTTTGCAAAATATTTCGATTGGCATTTTTCAAAGGAACACAGAGATGAAATTACGATCGATGGAGTTCAACACAAAACTTATGAAGTACTCTTAAGATGGCTTTATGGAATGTCATATGAAGATGCTGTTATAAATGTTTTCTATGAAGGTTTTTCAGATTCTGGGCAACAATATCTAGATTTTATGCTTGAGCTTTTGAAAGTATCACATAAATTTAGTCCTTTAAATAATATAATTCAAAACAATATCATGCTAAAAAACATCATAAATGTAAGTAATGTGAAGAAAATAAGAAAATTTAGTCACGATTATAATGCGAAACAACTTAACAAAAGCTGTGAAGAATATATACGAAAGAATAAGAATATTATTGATACAGAGGGTTCATGTGATTAATTTTGTTATTACGCAATATATATTTTATTTATTATGAGGTAATCATATTTGTCAATAATGCTATAGTGGTACTTTACCCTTTAATAAAACCAATAATTATGAAATTCTTTATAAATATGAAGTAACTGTTGTGTATTTATGAAAAATGCATTTAGAACTTCCACAAGTACAGGTACAGACTTATAAAGTAAACTCTAACATTATGACACGTTAGATTATAAATACGCTAATTTATGGTGTTTTCAAATTGCTGTGATCAGCGAACGAATATATTATATATTATATATATTAAAAAAAAGACGAATATGCATGTTGGACAAATGCTTTATATCAGGCATTTGATGCCAATAGTATATCACATTTTAGTGTAATTTAGCACGATCGAGCAACATCAAATGTTGAATTGAAAAAAATCTTCTATATTTCAGTAATATCTATGGGATGTATAACAAGATTTTTTTTTTGAATAGATTATTTAAGCATAATTATTTATAGCGTAACTAGGAAATCAAAATCCATTAAACCTCTATAACTATTACATTGACTGCAGACTATTAACTGACCTAAAATTCGCAATTTTTATTTCGCTATCTAACAGACATTGCATAGATGTGCATTCAGTTTATTTAGAATTGAGTCCTTGCTGTGCTTCGTGCAATTAGGCAGATTGTTTTGCTTATATTCTTAAGATTTAATTATAGTTACCAGTTTTATCGTAAAAATTTATTGTATTGCTTAATACGGGAAATTATAATGGAACCAAATTATGATTTACTATAATATCTGATATCATGAGATTTTGATATTACGGAGCTTTTGATATAACAGAGCAAAGAAGGCCTCCGTTATTTCGAGAGTCACGTGACTAGTTACTAGCTTACGGTATTACCCTGTGGCTTTACCACAGGAGCTATTTTATACGTGAGTGATGCCAAATAATATTTTTATGTATTGATTTCTGATAGTTCTATTTAAAGTAGCAACTTTGAATAGGTGAACATTTCAGATGTAATCATGTAATTAAAATTCTATAATCCGATTGGTTTATTTGATTTTTATACATGATGTTTTAAAACACCATTTCTAGTCCTGTAGCAATTCCAATGTTCCGATTCAGAATGCATCGAAATCCTGGTCATCTGCCACCGACAACCCATGTAGATTATCATAGAATGGTGAACTTTTGTATTTTTATTTACTGTATTTATTTTTTTTTTTATAGGTTTAAATTAGAAAATAATATAATTTTTTAAAATCTTTTTTTTAAATACTGTAATTAATTTTCAGGAACAGGTCCTAGTAAAAATGAAACACCAGTACAAAATGCCAATGCTATAACAGAAGCCCATAAGCAAGCATCAAATTCAAAATAATTATATAATAATCCACCAATTAACAAACCAACTAATCTTCCCATAGCATTTGCCATATAATAAAATCCTACATTCATAGCAACCTTATCTTTGTGGCAATATGCTAATATAAGAAACGAATGAATTGAAGAATTTACAGCGAAAATAAATGCAAATATAAACAAACCAATTGATAAAAATATTATAATAAATAAGAAGTTTGTATAAGAATTAAAAATCTTAAAAATTATTGCTAAAATTAAAGTCATTAAAAATAGAAGTAATGTAAAAGGTATTAATATGCGACCATGTTTTACAGGATATATCTTAAGTGGCTTAAGAATTAATAAAGGTGTACTAGATTGTACTACTCCATAAAATATCACCCAACTTGCAATAAACGCGCCAACAGGAAGATATTGCCTAAAAATTAAATTTAAAAAAATTAAAAAAAAATTAAAAAAAAAAAACTATATCTTATACATATATAAATATAAATTTTACCATCCAATTGGTCCTCTTAAATAAAAAGGTAATGGCACCTAAAATTACAATGTAATTAAAAATATTTAAATACCGCGCTCATGCAAAATACCATCTTGATAGGCGTATACTTACTTCAAACCATAGATCCCGTGAGCTAAACAAAAACATTCTAGCAATTGACAGAATATTTACATCTCTTCCCTAAAATTAATATATAACCTTTTATTATTACGTATGATAGTTACTGTATTATTATTATATATTTACAGAAATTAAAGGATACCTTATTAAAAATCTTTCCAAAAGTTAATTTTTCTTTCGACTTACTAACGGCTAAATCACTCTCAACATAAGCAAAAGCAAAGGGGATAACCACCAGGTTCATAACCAATAAGATTGCTAAAGAAGGAATAAACCCGACAAAATAAAACAAAAAAGCACCCAAAAAGAATCCAGCACCTTTTACAGAATTTTTTGCGCCCGTAAGCCAGGCAACCAATTTGAATAATTGAGATTGATGATCATCATTGCTCTTAGTCACTAGTTTTGTTATAGATTTACCACCTAATTTGACTAAATCTTTTGCCATTCCACTGAATCCCTGTGCAATAATGACATATATATAAAAAATAATGCCTCGAGTGATCCAAGGCAGACCACATAACATTCCTATGCCGATAACTTGAGTAGCAAGACCTGAAATAAAACAGGTACGAAGTCCTAGACGCGAACCTAAAATACCACCGATCAGGTTAGTAACGACGCCTAGGAATTCATATGACGTAAGCATGATAGCTGTTTGTAATGCCTAGTAATAATTGATATTTTTTATTCAAATATAAGAAATCGGTAATTGGTGAATATTCGTAATTAAGGAGTAAGTACAGTACATACACCATAATGTTCATTATATAACTCAAACAGGACGATCATTCGAAGTCCTGAATCCGTAAGTGTGAAAAGTAAATATCCACTCGAGATCACATAAAAATTTCTCATTGATCTCACTTCATCACTATTCACATTTTGTGTATTTTCAGGAATCCTATTTTGTGAATCTAAAGATTCTGAAATATTTAGTTGAGTTTCAGCCTTTTCATTATGTTGTGAAGAAGGTTCCGATATTTCATTATCATTTCTTTTCGTAGCTAATTCCTGAATTATTATACTAGATTGTACTTTTGATTCATCCATCTTGTAGAGGATATTTTACAATTTAAACCTTAGATCTATTTATACGTTAGATACATCTCTCGTACAATACATGGATATGTATCACCAAAACAATGAGAAATTCATTTAACCAATTATAGCGTTTTTTTGAATTAAAAATTTGAATTAAAAATTCTAGACATTACAAATATGGTAACTTTAGAATTAAAAATACAAATAATCTACAGTGATGGAATGTAACAATTTCCTCTTATCGTTGCATTGTAACTAAGAAGCAGCTACAGTATTCTTTAGATTGTCTACATAGCAAAATTTATTTGCTAACTTAATGGTTTATTTTATTTATATACTTTATTTTAGAATATGCAACTTATTTTGTTAATACTGTATTACCTACTAATTTGTGACATGGCCATCCGGATTAAAAATTTTTAAAATATTTTAAAGGCTTTTGAATTATTACAAGGCTCAGATACAGTACCTGGTAAAAAATTTTACATGTTTAAAGTTCAAATAGTTCGTGTGTTAAAAGTAATAAATTATTATATACAGTACGAGTAGCGATGTGAATTTCTAATTATTAATTGTTAACATGAAATTATTAACTTAATAAATCATTAAAGTTATTAACAATTAATTGAATTATCCAATACGTATACATTGATACGTAAATTGTAATCAGCGATCCTGGTTATTCTACGTTACACTAAAGCATATAATAGGTCTTGTAAAAATATGTCAGTAGAATCTTCCACCACAGCTTTTAATTGTTGCGATCAATGATTTTATAGAAATCGACAAATTTTAAAGAATATTTTCTACGAAAATGTTCTATGCATATTGGATAATTATTTATTAAAAGCTTGGAATTATTGTTAACTTATTAACTTTTTTTTTTATTCGTTAACAATTCATGATTAATAATTTGAAATTCCCATCGCTAAGTACATACATATCAATATCATGGAATTTTTTGTTTAGTAAAACTAACTTTACTTACAAAGTTGTTTGACGTATCATATTTTACTTACCTTCAAATTTTGGTGCAATACCCAAATAACCTTTTATTAATAACTTTTTCATTATGCGTTTCAACGCAGTAAATTGATTTACTGCACCAAAATGTAGAACGAAAAAAAACTTATTTTAAAAAGATATGCAAAATTTGAAGGTAAGCAAAAGATAATATGTTGAACAATTTTACTTAGTAAGCTAATTTTACTTCATAAATAAAGAAAAATCGCTGAAGATAATCGAAACGTATTATCTGTTATTACCATCATAAAATAAATAAATGTAGTCTTCTAAGTAACATCACGTAGTTTAAATAAAGTACCGATTTTTTATATATAGAAGTAAGGAGGGTTTAGAACTGCATTAAATTAAATAAAAAGTTAAGGATGTAAAGATTTTTCAGAAACTTTTATTAATGAAAACTGTTGATTTCGTCATAATACCCACATTTACCTTATATGATCGATGTCTGGTTTCCATTGGCATTACCCATTTATTTTCTATTATTTAACACGTAAGGCTGGGATGTTAGAATTAGATAGATGCTGTGAACAATTAAACAAGGCAGGTGTATTTATCACGTAAAACTAAATTATGAAATAAACAACCAAAACCATAATGTTTCAGTCACATGAGTTTCGTCACCCATCTATAATATCGATCACAGCAAATAAATTAATTTCGGATCATAGCGAAACAGATAATAAGAGCAGTAGTACTAGACACGAATGGACATGTCCCTTATTTTTTTTATTTCACTTTTCCGGTGCAACTTTTATAACCTATCATAGTAAAATACGATATAAGATGCTTTAGTTGTGTTTATTAAATGGAAACAATATGGCGCAGTAAAATTCACCCATTAGTCCGTTTTTACACATCAATTAGAAGGTTAGAAGCTTATGTAGCATGTGATTTTGAATTTTTTTTTAATTTTCACGAAAAGAGCAGTACTGCAAAAACAATCGATATACT